ATGATGTAGATAAAATAAAACCTAACCTAGGTTTATTTCAATCCAAAATGGACTTTCACCAATTAGCGGTGACAGATCCTAGAATTCGTGCAAATGGTTTGATAAAATCCCAAAATTGAAACATTTGCAACCAGTTTTCGAATTGTTACCATCTCGTTATGATTATGATCCTAGGACTTACCGATCTTAGGCTTTTAAAATTAACACATCTATGCGATTGTTTTAAATTCATTCATTGGTAATTAGTATTCCTTGCGTCGTTGGTGAAAAGCAACTGGAGTAGAGTGACGAGTTGATAGAAAGTAGAGATACCGAAGATTTGTACGAGGAATTATTGAGGGAAAATCTGAAGACAAGATCTAAATGAATACTGTTGATTTATGTTATTAGCATTAAAAACAAGAACTTCGTGACTTGTACATCGTGGTTTAGACATTGCACGTGTTGATAGAAAGCGAAGATATCGCGGATTGGAATGGGAAACTACTCTGAAGAAAAATTTAAAGACCGGGAGCAGATGATGATACTACTGCTAGCATCAAAAACTGAAATTTCTTAATTTCGAGATAAGGATTCAGACGTTGTCGCGTTGACAGAGTATAGATATAGAATAATGCTGCAGAGGTGTGTTCAAAGAAAATTTAAGTATGTAGGGAACAAAAATGGCGCACTGTCACTATTACTAGTCCCAGAAACGAGAATTTCGTGATTTTGACATTGTAATTTAATACGAGAAACTATTCTAAGTGGAGTAACAGAAAGGATTGAAGAATTATGTATCACAAATGAAATATTTTGCTCCATCGTTGAAAAATGGCGCGAGAGAGTATTCTGAAGGAACACCTGAAGACAAAGTATAAATAAGTAACGTCGATGTACTAATAATATTACCAGCATCAGAAATAAAAATTTCTTCATTCTCGTTTCATCGTTCAGACGTTATTGTAGATAGATGTTGATACAAAGAGGGGATATCGAAGATTGACACGAGATAATATTAACGAAAGAAAGAATTATAATAAATACTAATATAATTAAATAGAGTTACACAGGTTCGTTTTATATCTCACAATTTCCAGAATTCGATGGTTTCATATGAATTATTTTACCGTGTGCATCTGTGTGCATTAAATGATTGTTATTTCATAAGATCGGCGGATCTCTGAACCGAGTGGCGCCTTTAAATTTCCCAATTTATTCATCGGGCGTTTCGTCATATAATTCCACCTTCGAGATTAATTATGATTCACTTGTCGTTTAGATGTAAATTTAATTTGACGGGACATCTAGACGAATGTATCTGTCACTGCGTTACCGTTTCTGAACACATTGAGACAGATAACACACGTCGTCGCCGTACAAATCGAATTTCACGCTCGCTTCTCGAGCCACGTTGTCGACCATGTAATAAAAAGACTTGTAAAATTTCAACTCGCCTTGCTACCTTTTAAAATCACTAGTGGAACGATCGCGGTGCAATATTTTCTAGGGGATTTAGTGCTCTCCCATTAATAGCTTTTTAAATACCATACTCAACGAACGTAACATTTTTTAAAAATACGCGGTTGTATTACTGCAATATTTTTGAAATATTATCGAAATATTCTTGGTTCTTTTAATTCTCGTTATCGTTCTCTAAACTTATTATTTTTAAAAATTTTAATATCGGTTCTGTGATTCATGTTGAGTTTAATCGATCAAAGCGAGGAGAAAGCGTAATCAAGAATTAATATTTAATTAATATATTGATAGCTAGTATTAATTATTAATATTTAAATTTCCCGCATTCAGAAAATTTCATTCCGTCTACCAGTACCACATCTTATCTTATTAATTGTTCTGATATATTAGAAAAGTTCTCAATCAATGCTCCAACTTTTCATTTAAGACGATACAATTTTCTTTATATACAATAATATAAAACCGCATTTGCATACCACTCAGGTATTGATAGAATGATTACTAATGTTAACAACACTTACCCTACTCTAGATCTATTCAGCCAATCTCTTCACTCTATAAAACAGCTATTACATCGTACCTCTCTGTAAAAAATTTTGTTTTCCTCTACTTATACACATCTCGTCTGTTTGTATATTTGTATATTTTATTTTTATTTTTATTTTTCTAATTTTCTTTTTTTTTGTTACCATTAATTTTGTACCTCACTGTAATAATTTTCTTATAATTTTCCTAATGGGTTAATTCTGTGTAAATAAATAAATAAATTAATAAATAAAAAAAAGTAAAGAAAATTTTATTGCATTTATTTTCCGATAAAATTTCTGTCCACCAATAGCGTGAATTTAATTTTTACCAATTCCAATATTACCCAACGATTGCGACGTTTGGTCGCGATACTCCACCCCTTTTTCTTGCCTTTTTTCCTCAGCAAAGAACTAGGAAGACACGTTACAGTTCACCGTTTCGCGATCGACAGTACCCGCGTTCCGTAGAAAGAAATTACCATTGCCCGGTTTCCGAGTAAGAAGCATAATTTTCATTTTTGCGCGCTTTACGACAAATGCAATATCGCAGCTGACGACAAGAAACCGTGATCCCGATGCAACGGCATCGAAACTTTTTCCCCCACGAGTCCTGTTATCGATATCTCATTAGATCGTTACGAACCAGCTAAAGGCCTTCTCTTCCGCTTTTTATCCATCGCGTTTTACATTCCTCCTTTTTACCTATTTGCCCCTTTATTACTCCGTGCCTCCTGGAAGAACAATGCGCGAGTGTAACGGCACGGTGGTTCCACAAAACTGTTATCCACAAGACGGCGAATAAAACTCTCGCGGGAAATTTAGATCGTTTCTTAGGTGTCCTGCGCGATATTTTCGTGGACGAAGAACTTTATCGAATTTTACGACCGTGAATTTCTCATCTCTACTGGTAAAGACGTAACAATGTGTTTGGGGCCCTCGCGCGTGATTAACAACGATTAATCGATTATTATTGTTCGAAAATGCGAGTAACAGTGTGCGTATGGTCTTTGGATTTTTAATTCCAGGTTATCGGATTTTTAATAATTCGATTTTTCTGAGATTTAACAACATTTGGATATGTGAGAAATTTTCGTTTGTTAAGTTGTCAATCTTCTGACGAATTGCAGCGAATTGCAACGAATTATCGAATTAAAGATTCTGTAATCCTTGAAATATATTAACACATTTTTGTTTTGTAATATAAAATGATTCTTGTGCAATGTATTATGCATATGAAGAAATTTAACGAAGGTACTTTGCCCCTTTCAATTTGCTATATTTATGAACTTTTCATAGAGATATTTTACTGTCTTAATTGATAAAATGCAGAGAACAGAATATGACACGATGATGGTCATTATAAATGCAAAATTTTAATAACGCGAAGTGATACTATATTTAAAGAGAATTTAGAAGAAGAATTGCTATTATTTAATTTTTTAAAGATATTTCCGATAAAAATCTATCAGACCCTACAGGAATGTTTCTGTATTTTAATAACGGTAGCTTCCTTCCCCAATTTTCTTTGTACCCCGCTGAACTCCGAATTTATAAAATATCATTTACTGTATTAAATTACATTAAATTAAATCAATTTATAAATACTCTGCACGAACATTCTTGCATACTGAAAGCTTCAGGTCTGACACCCATTGAGGAGCCCCGTTCTAAATGTATTGTACAAGCTATCGAACGACGATTCAGCTGAAATAAGAAAAAAAGAAACCCTCCTCTCATCGAACTGCCAGTAATAGTTCGAAATTCCGAAAATACCTGACCTAGCTCGATCAAATCCTTAAAAACCTCTCGGGGAAGCCTAAATAATCTTTGGACAACTGCACACCTCTCAAAAGAGTGCCCTGCTCTATCACCTAACTCGATGACACCAGGCTGAAAAGCATCACCTATGTATCGCTAGTTCCTCGAAAGAAACACGCAGTCGGAGACACCGTCCTTCGGTCAGCTATTCCGTGGTCTTTAAAAGTATAGTCATCTTTCCATCCTAATACTTCCCGGAACGGGCCAAGGACGCATTTGGGAGCGCTATGGGAAGAACGGAGTCAGTTATGGTCGGAGAGAGACGGGGACCAGTCGCACCCCTGGAGAAATGCCTCTGGGCCCGTCTCGCCGCGTAGACGCCCCTGGTATCGAGGGTCCCGCGCCACGTTAGGGTCCAGTTTTATCTAAATGACGTGTTTTCGTCCTCCCTTATCTTGAAGAGACTCCAATACACTGGACTTTCGATGCGTCCACGACGATACGCCACGCAGCACTACTGCTGACCCGCTATTAACATTCCGGCCGCGGTTTCCACCTCGCGTTTTCCCTTTCGAACGTCCTCACCAATCCGGCTTTCGATAAAAAGAGAAGACAGCGGGGGTCAGTTCTGTGGACGGTAGGAACCGGAAGTTACTTATATCGGTAGAACGCTGCTTACGGTGTCGCGGAGACGGTTCGGTCCACCGAGTTCTCTGGTCCCAAAGAAAACTTTTTCCCTGCCTTGGGATATGAATAAATGGGTTTGTCCGTTAAACAAAGGACGATAAATTTTATAGCTTTGGAAACTTGTACTTTAAATAGGAAATTGGGAACAGTTATCTCAAACATGGATGACTTATTTTAGGAGTGACGTATTTGGGTTGTGAATCGAGAATGACGTATTTGTTTAGAAATTCGCAATTTTGTTCTTTTTTATATTTCTAATGAATATCGAATATTGAGTATAGTGATACCATCATTATTAATATTTCTAAATTTATTTAATTCCTTTTCAGGATTTTTAAGTTTGTGCGATTCCTAAATTTTCATTTCACACGTCTATTCTGTTTTCTCAAAGTAGGATTAAAATTTGTGAATTGGAGCTAATTTCCTTGATACTTTTTGAAAACGTTCCATGTATTTTATGATATTCTATACATTCCATTCTACCTATTACGAGTTTGATGAAGTTCGAATTGGGAGGTTGAGAGAAAATTCCGAGTTAATACTTTGAAGAAAATAATTAAAACTCACCTCCACTTTGTTCGCCTGTTCTGAAACCAGGTTTTCACTTGGGCATCTGTCATCTTCAAGGTTTTAGCCAAGGCTGCTCGCTCAGCCGACGCCAAGTACTTCTGTTTGTGAAAACGTTTCTCTAGTTCGGCGATCTGCAACCTGGTGAAGCTTGTCCTCGGCTTCTTTCTCTTCGGTGGCGTCCTGTTTTGGTAAGGATGGCCGATCCTCCTTGGAAACGCTCCGGCTACTGTGGAATAAGATCAACGACACGAGTTAATTATAATTCTGGATCGCTTTCGACGCTTTACTTTATTTATTTTCAATTTAATTCCGATTTAATGCTTCCTGAATGGAATATACAGGGTGTCCCAGTAACCGTAGTATAACCAGAAATGGGTGATTCTACGTGAAAAAGCAAATCGGAAATAAAGAATAAAGAATAAAAAATTAAGAATAAAATTTTTTCATTCGAAGCTTCGTCATCGAGAAAATGGATTTTAAATATTCACCGAGTACATATGCACTTTGACTTATTTTTAAATAGATGGACCATTAGTATACCAGCATGCTCGGTGGATATTCAAAGTCGATTTTCTCGATAATGAAGCTTCGAATGAAAAAATTGTATTCTTTATTTTCGATTTGTTTTTTCACGTAGAATCACTGGGACACCCGGTATAATAGAATGCACATATAGAATACGTATACACCGAATGGATGTCCTTTTATCAGGGGACCGAAGGTAATATGAGTCACTCTTAAGTAGATAATTTTTCAGAAACGAGGAAAAATAAATCTTTTTCCTGATTCTTGAGAAAAATCGATTTACATCGTTCACAATCGTTTAAACTGTATCGTGAAAAGTGTAATTATTCAAATTTTGTACTTCCATCAACGATGAAAAATTATACTTTGAAATTTTATATATTAACTAATTATCAACTATTGTTTTTTAACTATTGTTTATTAACTATTAATTTCAATTATTAACGATGAAAAATTATATATTAAGAAGAAAAATTTATTCTTGTTATCTTAATGTAATTTTCTGATTATTGGGTCAGTCTGGAAATAATTATGACAGTGAAGAAGAATAAAATATGAGGGTTAAAAATAATTATTTTTATAATACGACTAAGGTAATGAGTTGATTGCATCTACGAACAGTCAAGAGATAATAAATCCGTGTAATTAGATCTTTGGATAATTAGCGACTGGTAATCGATGCTCTATCGCGACGCAATAGCAGTCGGATATAATGATTAGTATTTTGGATAACAGGGTCGAGAAAGATGTGACACTTTAAGAGTACTCGCAACGTTTAGCTGATAATTCCTTGATATGTTTAATTCGGTTTCAATTATGCGAATGACATCGGTGAATTCAAGGAAAAGAAGTTAATGGCGGATAATAATTCATAACGACCCCATTCCGGTTATCAATAATGATCGAGAAGGAGCGAAATATCGATGTAAAGCATTAATAAATCTGACATAAAATGATTCGATATTATAGATATGACGATGAGACGAAAATAGCATCTATTGAAGTCGATTACTTTATGCAGCTGTAACAAATCAGATAGGATCAGTTCTCACCTATATCGAATATGTGTAATTTTGTTAATATTAATAATTCTGCGTGAAAATATCGAGGTAAAATTGTTTATAATGCTGTATGGTATTTTAAAAGTTATACATTTGACAAATTTTTATGATACACCATAAAATGATGTATTTATAATTACCCTACCATAATTGTTGAATATTTGTTACTGTTTTAAGATATATTATATTATATTGAAATTACTATAACCATATTCCATTATAATTATTATATTTTACTAAATCGAGATTCTTATATTAAGTTACATTATATTAATATAGACTTACCAAAGGGGTCAAAATAACTCGTTTCAGACGTTTTATTTTCGCAATTTCTGGAAATACATAGCTATATGCTTTCCCAAAATTAATGTCAATTTTGATTCATACAGAAACATAACCATATTCGGTTATTTATTTTCTCTGTATCATTACAATGTAGTTTTATTATAGACACGTTACAAACCGATAGTTCTAGTGTTAATTATTACATAAAAATTATGCAACAAAAATTATTACATTATTAAGTATCATATATCTCACATCATGTTGCATTAAATCATAAGTACTATATCTCGTTAAATTGTTACACCTTCTTTCACCACTAATACACAAAGTATATTTAAGTAATAAATCCAATAATTAATAAAATATTTGAAATGATAAATTCGATTTGCTCTTTTCAGAAACTTCTTCTTTTCCACTCGCACTTAATAACGATTACATTTCGATGCTCACTCTAATAATTCTCATGCAACTATAGCATACTGGCACATTCTTCTATACAGCTTTTCAAACATCAGTCCCACTAGACGGTACTCGCTCATATTATAGTTATATTGTAGGATGCCGAAGACTGGTTTTATTGTCTTTCTCGTTTAATCGAAGGAATATCGGGTCTGCGCAAAAGGTTTTGAGACACCGAAAACGGAAAGAACAATAAGAACAGAATAACACGAACACTAAACTAGGAAAACTAATTTAACTCGGGAAAAGAACGCTAAAATAACGTAACTAAAACACACGGAAACACGCTCTAATTTGACTCTCTCCAACACCAAACGACTCACCCCCGTGTCAGTCACAATTTATTTCTATGAAGACTCTTCAACGCTTTTTCGCTAAGGACTCTGCTTGTATCGTGAAGGGTCCTGTTTTCATGCTTTTCGCGAAGCTCGATGACGTGCCTTCTCCTTAGCTGATAAGATTTAGCCCATTAGCGATTTGTTTCCCGTGACGATTACGATTTTGTTGACCTACGTTTCACCTCCTCGTAGAGGCCACGCAACTTAGCTTTGCTACCAAAAATAGCCTTCCATAGCGGTATCCTTCTCCATTTGCTTCTGGAAAATGTCACGCAGGTCATTGATCGGTTTATAATTTGTTTTTTCTAAAATAAAATCAGCAATGGTCGATTCGTGATTTCTTTCCGAAATGGTATTGTAGCGACCATCATTCTCACCCTCGACACTAGATGGAAAACTTCCGTTTCTTATACATATAACTTCTAGACCTTCCAATAGTATCCCCGTCTAAGGCAGGGCCTGTTAGATTGCACTATGACAGACAAATGAGTTTTACTCATTCAATCTCCTTCGCAATTTGCACACGTAAAACCAACACTCACAATTATTACCCTCATACTACATCATACGTTACATTTGCATATCCTCGATCCCTCGACCGACACCATTATCCAAACCTCCCACAGAAAGGCAGGATTCTGCAAAGCTGTTAAACTCCAACACCATTTCGTCTTATAAACATGGAGGAATACTCGGTTCTCAGCGCACATCGGGCGCGAAGCATGATCGTTGGGAGGAAAACAAGCGTTGAAATTGCAGGATAAAATGGCGACGCGGAGTTACGCGGCCTCCGGAGGAATTACTTACGATAGTGGCGCGCGAGGCAATGGTTTGGCTCGCTTTGGGAAACGATTATAAAACCGTAAAAACGGGGGCTTACGAGTTACACGGAACGATTTGCCGACCGGTGCAAATTGTAACGCGATCTTTGTAGTCCGGCAGCAGCGGCAGGTGCGTCGCAATTCAGCGGAAGGGTATTAATAAAATTACCGTTAGCCCGATAGGACCGCGCCACTTCCATTACCGGACCCGCGCAAACACCGTCGAGTGCACGAAGGTGAAATCAAAATGAAGCTTTATCGTCCACTTATGCGAAACTAGCCGCGTAAATCGCGGCTGAAAACTCGCGCTCGAGATTCTCCCTTATCGAAACCGGCCGTTCATCCAGGCTAATTATTGTATGCGTCCACTCGGTCGGGGGCAACCAGTAGAAATATCGCTTTCGCGGGAATATAGTAGCCGATCTGAACTCGAAAATCGTTAACCCTTTTAGCGTTAAATATTAGGTTGGGCCGGTGAGATGGTTCTCATGGCAGTTCAGAGGTTTAAATTAGTTGTAAAAATTGTGAGTGTTGGTTTAATGCGTGGGTATGTGACGAGGTTGAATGAGCAAAATTCATTTGTCTATAATTATGCAATCTATGATATAAATATAATATGTGTAGGATTGGAACGAGTGTGGCTCTGAAAGAATGTTAAGAGCGTTTGGGACATAGAACGATAGTGAATTATTAGTAATTATTACACAGGGTGTTTAAATTATTATTTTTTATGCAATTAATTTATGAATTACATGTATACATTATAGCAACAATATTCTTAGGTATGTTCACGAATCATTTTTGTTCATATTTTACTTCCAGGTTTGATCATAATTAAATACTTTAACGAGCAATCATGCCGGCCGTTGTTACGAAATCACGTGCTGCGTCAAGTAATTATTAATAAAAAATTAATTAGCATCCTGTATTTTACGAATTAATTTATTGTATTAATTAATTAATTAAATTAATTTTATTAGTTAATAGGCCTATATAATATCGAATATTTCCAATTTATCTGTTTGTCACCGTAACGTTACATTTGACTCGTATGTATAATTAATTTAAACAAAAACAATAATTATTTACAATTTCTTTCCGTCATAATAGAAGAAGATTTTGGTCATAGGGGATCGACAACGCCATTTCATCTGAAACTTACCAAAATTCTATTTGTATCTAATTTACAAACGATATTTTCCATACCAATATACTCCAAAAAAAAAAAATAATAATCAGCTGTACTTACCAAAATTTTCGTCACTCCATTTTCCTCAGAGAAAATCGCTAAAGAAAATCGCGATTGGCAAACGAGAGAATAAATCCTCGCGGGCTGGTTCGACGAGATTAATCAAATTATCATCGTTCATCGCGGTTGTCAGGTACAAACTATCTCGATCGACTGGGACTCGATAATAATTTATACCGAATAAACATTAGAGCCGGTTCACCGGGCAGCTGAATCACTGGAACGTGGCGAAAAGGCTTCTGCACCCTTTCCTTGATCTATTCATCGAGCAATCGATCTTTCTCCCTCGCGAATCGGAGCCAATGCACGATCAGATGGAAACGGAACCGTCTCTATCTCGTTGCGATATCCCCACGTGACGTCTATCTATTCTTTCTTTTCTTTCCTTTCTCCTCTCTTCTTTTTTTCCACTTTTTTCCCCGCGGGTAATTTGCTCTCGTTAGAGAAACCCTAACACACGCCAGCGAAACATTGTGTCGTTCCCTGTG